TTTAATGTATATCTAAATTAAATATTTATTCTATTATATAATTCTAATTTTACAAAAAAATAATCATAAAATAAAATATATTATTACATTATAATATGAATGATTATTCTAATATATGAATTAACTATTTTTATTTTATTAAAAAATAATCATTAAATAAAAAATATTGATTATATTATAATATGAATTATCATTACAATTTTCAAATGTTATTATAGAGTCAAATTAAATTATTGATTTGAAATTTTAAATTAAATCACAATTAATCAGATCAGATCAGATCAAATCAGATCCAATCAGATCAGATCAGATCCAATCAGATCAGATCAGATCCAATCAGATCAGATCAGATCAGATCAGATCCAATTAGATCAGATCAGATCAAATTAGATCAGATCCAATCAGATCAGATCAGACCAGACCAGATCAGATCAGAACTTATTAAAATCAGATCAGATCAGAAAAAATAAATTGAACGGAACGGAGCCTAATATGTCTTCTACGAAATAAAGGACATTGAATCTATGACCCCTATAGAAGGAAAAAAAAGTCATGTCCAAATACAAAGAATGAGATCATATCCATTGACCGTGGTATGCATAGGAGTCTCCGCTCCCCAATTTGGCCGGGAAGAGTTATGGCATCACTATAGGAATTAAAGGGGAAGAGTAAGTTCAATGAGTCCCAACATCTCCTCTCTTTAGCTTTTTATATGATAGATAAAATAATAAATTCTTCTCAGCTCTTGTTTTGTTGAATTTTTGATGTAGTTTTTAAATGTGTAAGTTTTATTTTTTTTATTTCTATACGGCTATACCAATCTTTATATAAAATAATTTTAAAAAAACTCAAAAAATTACTTCATTTAGCATAATGTTACCCTTCTTTTTAGAGGGAGTATAAAATTTGGGATTGGTTTCCGCAAGTTAGGTCGTCCTAACTCCCCTTCTTTACTCCCTTACTCCTCTTTTTATACTTCTCAAAATAAGAACTCTTTTTTAGAACAGAGGGAGTTCAATTTAATTAAAATTGAGACTTGAAATGGAGGGACCAAGCATTGAGGTGAACAGAGGGCATTTTGTTCATCAATTTGGTTCTTCGAAATCGGCCAGAATATAATTTTACATACTCGTGTATTATTGGGAAAAAATATTCAATTCTGAGTATGGAATAAGTTAAGATTTAAAGTGTGATTTTTTATTTTTCTTTTAAGATCGGGAGAAGAAAAGATTTTGTTGATGATGAGGTCTATCTCTAAGAGTTTGATAAAATGCCTAAAAGACAAATCGATCAAAAAACATTTTCCGGATGCTCAATTTCCAGAAATTAGACAAATTAAACAAACAAAAGACAATTTTCATAGTTTTATCCAGACACCACAAAATGAAAATGACATCAGGAAAATGATTCATTTTTCCAGGAGTTATTTTCAAAATGTCATTTTTTAGCTTTCCAAACGGATCCTAAGAGAGAAACAGAGCAGGTGATGACATGTCTCAATTGAACCACATGAGCTGTTGTGACAGTTTTTTTATTTAAAAAAAAAAAGAATCAAGATTGAGTAGTTAAATTTCACTTTATAAATAGTTGCAGGTTTTGAAAATGTAGTGAGTATTTTGATGAAAGTAGACGGCAGTTGCGCATGCAAGGGAGAAGACGACGATAATAACAGTTTTCCCAGTTGACTCCATTGTCGCCATCTATACGTGTTGTTTATTGGGGTTAATTAGGTAATTTGATTATTATTTCTTCCATTTTTATTAAAAAAACCACTTTCATCTTTGATGGATACAAAATTAAGAAGACAAACAAAAAGTCCATAGGTTGGAAGGTACTCTCTGGTCTAAAAAAACTCTCCATGTTTTCATGTTTTTTTAATCAAAGAGTGATACTCCGACTTTTTTACCATAAATCATTAAAAAAGTATATTGAATTACTCATATTATATAAATTCAATATAATTATGTTCATCTTATGATATAGTTACTATTACGAGCTCTTGGCCACTTGGCCACTTTTATTTATTTGTATGATATCATTAATCATTTTATAAAGTAAATTATTTTTGGCAACTTTTGTTTTTGTAGAATGTTTTATGTACATTTGAACGGTATAATTTATGCTGAGTACTTTTTATTTTTATATTAATTTGTAATTATAAAAATTTAAAAAAGTTTTGATTCTATATGTTAGAGCACTGGAAATGGTCATGAAGCCCCGGGGCTTCAAACCGGGGCTTCAAACTTTCTCTTTCTGCCACGTCAGCTTTAACTTACACTAAAAATTCACTGGAAATGGTTTTGAAGCCCCGGGGCTTCAAACTAGAGCTTCAAACCTTCATTTTTACATTTTTAAATATACATCTTCTAAATTTAAATTAATAAATTTAAAATAATTTATAATTTTAATTAATTGCAATGACACTAGTGCATTAAAAAAATTAAATTCATTATAAAAAAAAATACTCCCAAGCATGCCGACAAAGCCGTGTTTAGCGGCATGCCTTGCCTGCAACTGCTGGATGTCGCTCACTGTAGCCTTGCGTAAATATCTTTTATGATAAATTTGAATAATAGCTTTTGAAAATTTATAAACACATGAACTGATGCTCCGAGCCGACATCTTCAAGTATTCGTCGAACATATCGGATGCCG